AAAGAGATCTGCCAGGCAGGAGAATCGCTGGAACCTGGGAGGCAGAGGTTGCAGTGAGCCGAGATCGTGCCATTGTACTCCCGCCTGGGCAAAAAGAGCGAAACTCCGTCTCAAAAAAAAAAAAAAAATTCTGTGTCATGTTGGATGTTGGTTTCATTTTTCCTAAGGCAGTACTGGGAGCCCTTATGGCCACTGTGTGCCAGAGGAGAGAGCTGGGTCTCAATGATGTAAGTAGTATGGGGGTTGGTGAGGTCATTCCCCCATGCTTCCTCTGAAGTCCATAATCTGGAACCTTATCTTGACGCCGCCCCTTTAGTCTTGTTTTCTGATTCACACACAGATAAGCACACACACATGCACTATTTATAAATTCATGCAACACAAAAATGTAGAAAATCTGTTCCTTAAGTAATTGCTGTTATCTGTTTGTCATATATCCTTCCAGAAAATGTCCTGTGCACATATAAACCTGTTTTAAAAAGAATATGTGCATTATAGTCCACATACTGTTCTCCAACTGGCTTCATTCACTTCACGGCTGTGGACATTTTCCCTTGCTGCTAGGTTTTGCACCATTCTTTTCGTAGGCTACACAGTATTTTTGAAATGTTTCCTCTTAATTAGTCAGCTATTAATATGTATGTAGAATGTTTCCATGCTCTTGCTAGTATAGTCAGTGCTAGAATCATCTTTCTTGTACATTCATATTTATTTATGTACTTGTGAAGGCTTTCTATAAAAAATTCCTAAAGATAGGATTGTTGGGTCAGAGGGGAGGCACTTTTAAGTTTTTGACAAATCTTGCCAAATTGCCTTTTAGACAGATTTTTACACTTTACATTCCCACCCTTGGAGTGTGGAAAGTTGGGCTCCCACCTGATATTGTCAACCTTTAAAATCTTTTTTTAGTCTGATAATAGGGTAATGATGACTCACAGGGTTTTTGTTCTCTGATTATATGTGAAGCTGACTCTATCTTCAAATGGCTATTTGCCATTTGTATTTCTTCAGGAAATTGCCTGTTCATATCCTTTGCCCGTTTTTCTCTTTGGTATTTTGTCTTTTGTGTATTAATTTGAAGGAGCCCTTCCTATTTTATGGATAGTAAAACTTTGTCAAATATCTTTTGCCAGTTTATCCCTTGACTTTCACGGATAAAATTTCTATATTTTACAAAGTAAAATCTCTTAATCTTTTTTTTTTCTGAGTTTGATCTTATTCAAAGATGGGTTTTCTATGCTAAGATTGTATAGATATTCTCCTGTATTTACTTCTAGTGTTTCTTATGACTGTGGTTTTAAAAAATATTTAATTTTTTCTTTATGATAGAGACAGGGTCTCTCTATGTCTCCCAGGCTGATCTCAAACTCCTGATTTAAAGCAATCCTCCTGCCTTGGCCTCCCAAAATGCTGGGATTACAGGGGTGAGCCACCACGCCTGGCCAATATTTAAATTTTAATCCATATGGAATATATATTTATATATGAAGTACAATGGAACCATTATTATTATTGTTGTTTACATAAATAGAGGTGGGGTCTTGCTATGTTGGCCATGCTTATCTTGAACTCCTGGCCTCAGGCAATCCTCCTGTCTTGGACTCCCAAATTGTTGGGATTACAGGCATGAGCCACTGTGCCCAGCCAAAACCTTTAAATATAGAATTTAAGTACAAGAAATAACTTCATTTTTTCTGTATTTTTCCCCCCCATCACAGGGAAGCACTTGGAGAATATTTAGATGGGAAGAAGGAGAGTGAGGAGGATCAAAGCAAGAGCCACAAACAAAAAGAAGAAAGCAGATTGGTATGAACTGGTTGGCAAATGGGCTCTGGAAGACTAGTGAGCTGGGTGACGTCTTGGTTTTCACACTGAATCTGGAAGAAATCATAAGGTCGATGTTGCTGTCTCTAGGCAGAATGGAATAGAACCTTTCCCATTTGAGAGCTCTCTAGGAGTGAGCTTTCATGTGACAGTTTCTTATATTTATGCTGTCTCTTCTCTGCTCATGCACTTTTAGTGGTATTCATTCTTCATAGGATCAAGTCCAGATGTTTTAGCCTGGGCATTCAAAGCCTTTGATAGACTGTTCCTGTTTTAATTTTCCAAGCATATCTCCCATTCATTACCTTATTTGGGCCTTCTGCTTTGGAGAGGCGATCTGATCCACTCACTCCCCTCCAGTGGGGCCTTGTTCATCCTTGCTTTGTGCCTTTGATCATCTGGAATGCCAGGGCCCCTCAATTCTCCTTTTCTCTCTGCTCATCTGACCACCTTTCCTTTTTTCTTTTCCTTTTTTTTTTTTTTTTTTTGAGACAGAGTCTTGCTCTTTCACCCAGGCTGGAGTGCAGTAGCATGATCTCAGCTCATTGCAACCTCTACCTCCTGGGTTCAAGTAATTCTCCTGCCTTAGCTTCCCGAGTAGCTGGGACTACAGGCGAGTGCCACCACGCCCAGCTAATTTTTGTATTTTTAGTAGAGACAGGGTTTCGCCATTTTGGCCAGGATGGTCTTGATCTCCTGACCTTTCGATCCGCCCACCTCAGCCTCCCAAAGTGCTGGGATTATAGGCATAAGCCACCGCACATGGCTTCACTTTCCCATTTTTAACAACCCTCTCAAGATCCAAATCCTTCTTGGATTCTTCCTCAGCCCTGCCTGAACTCCCTTCCTCCACACATTGAATACTTCCTGTCTGTGCCGTTCTTTTCATTTTGAGAGTTTTCTGCTGCATATGACTTTTCAGATGTGTGTGCCTGCAGTGTCCGCAGCGAAACTGTATGTACTGTGAGAATGAGAGCCTCTTCTTGTAGCCGTGGAGTAGTGTGTAGCTTGTACTCAGTAGACACAAAAAAGAAAATCATTGATTACTCTTATGGCAATGAAACAGCTCCTGGGATGCTTAATAAAGACCTGGAACAGGAGGTGCAGGAGGGATAAACAGCAGCTCAAAACAGCAGACCAGAACTGACGACATGCTGCATTTCATCAATGCTAAGTGAAAGGCAAAAATGGTGATACCGTGCGAACTCGGAATATGGAGAGGAGCTCACCAAGCTGGCCTGGTCAGGGCAAGTTCAGTGGAGAAAATGGGATTCAAGTTGTCTTAGAAAAATAGTTGCAACTTTTAATAGCAGAGAAGAGAGAGATCATTTCTGGTGGAAAAATACTCAGGTTGCTGAACATGATTATAGAGCATAGAGGTATATAGAGAGATCATTGAATACCTTGTACTGTGTGAGGGATCAGATATTTTACTGTGGAAAAGATAACTGGACTGATGGGGTTCTTGTTCCTGATCTCTTACCTTCTGCAGAGTAAATGGTTCATGTCACCTTTTTGTACTTAGTTCTCTTCATTTAAAAGTCAGTGAGCTCAGCCGGGTGCAGTGGCTCATGCCTGTAATCCCAGTACTTTGGAAGGCTGAGGCGGGCAGATCACCTGAGGTCAGGAGTTCAAGACCAGCCTGGCCAACATGGTGAAACCTCATCTCTACTAAAAATACAGAAGTTGGCTGGGTGGTGGCACACACCTGGGGTCCTGGCTGCTCAGGAGGCTGAGACGGGAAGATTCCTTGAACCCTCAGTGATCTGAGATTAGGCCAGTGCACTCTAGCCTGGGTGACAGAGAAAGACTCTGTCCCCCCACCCTCAAAAAAAAAAAGGTCAGTGATCTCAGCATTTCTGTGTAGGACAAAAGGATATTAGATTTTTTTTTTTTTTTTTGAGACGGAGTTTCGCTCTTGTTACCCAGGCTGGAGTGCCATGGCACGATCTCGGCTCACCGCAACCTCCGCCTCCTGGGTTCAGGCAATTCTCCTGCCTCAGCCTCCTGAGTAGCTGGGATTACAGGCACACGCCACCATGCCCAGCTAATTTTTTGTAGTTTTTAGTAGAGACGGGGTTTCACCATGTTGACCAGGATGGTCTCGATCTCTTGACCTCGTGATCCACCCGCCTCGGCCTCCCAAAGTGCTGGGATTACAGGCGTGAGCCACCGCGCCCGGCCTGGATATTAGATTTTTTAAAATGCTGATATACAGTTCACCCTGAGCACTTCCTAATTAAGTGTAAACCAGAGTATAGGCCGTGGCTTGCTCTCAGGCGGTGGGGCCGGTGGAGGCGGTGGGTCCCTGCCGGGGGGCTGGGCCCTGTAGTGCCTAGAGGGCCGCGAGTTCAAGTATCTGATGAAGAAGCACTCGGTGACCATCGGCCTCAACTTGTCGCAGGGCTCCGTGGACATGAGCTTGGGCCACTTGGGCTTCATCTCGCAGCAGGTGCTACCTCAAGATCCTCACGCCCCTGGGCAGTGGTGGCTCCTAAGTGCGCCGCCTGGGCCAGAGCAGCATGTTCGTGGACAGCGTGTTTCCAAGGTGCCACTCGCTGCAGCTGCTGCACATGTGCATCTTCAGGTTCCCAGGCACAAACACCAGGATAACATTCACTGCCTTGTCCAGCCTGAGTCTCCAGTGAAGGTTGGGCAGCCACACTCTCGCCCAAGACCCTCTGGCCCACCTCATCAGCCCTCTGCCCTCCCCCACAGGAACCATCAGCGCTGCAAACTCCTACCGCTCCAGATCCCAGGGAGCGGGGTCTTCACGGTAGAAGGTGGACCGAGTGATGCCATCTGACCTCCATTTAATGGCTGACAACTTGCAGCCTGAAAATGAAAAGGAAGCTTCAGGTGGAGACAGCCTGAAGGATGATTCGAAGCCACCTTACTCCTGTGCACAGCTAACAGTACAGACAATTACAGTGGCTCCTAACAGCTCACCCTGAACGGAATTTATACACACATCAATAGAAATTAGCCCTACTATAGGACTGCAGACAAGGGCTGGCAGAATTCAATTCACTGTAGCCTCTCTCTGAATTGTTATTTCATCAAAGTTCTGTGTTCCCAGGAAGAACCAGGCAAAGGCTCATTCTGGAGGATAGATACTGCTTGTGAAAGCAAATCAATAGAAGAGGCTTTTAGGAAAGACGGCCTGGGGGCCGTCTGGATCGCTCTCTTCTAGGAGTGCCCCAGCCTCTCCCAGTCACGCTGGAGTGCTGTCTGGAGTGCTCACTCTAGTGGCACCTGAGAGCCTTTGGAGACAAGGCTTGCCAGCCCCCCTGGCACCACACACCTCAGACTCGCTGTCATCCAGGAATCCCCGTTTGCCCAGAGTGCACCAGGACCACCTCTGTCCAGTCAGCCAGTCTTAATCACCGTCCAGCAGCAGCCATCAAGCCTGTCACCTACATCGTAGCCACCCCAGTGACTACTCGACCTCCTAGCCACCCATTGTGCAGACAGTTCATGTCGTCAACCAGATACCAGTGGTGTGGCCGGACTGGCCCCAGCAAATATGTACACTGTCTCTGGACAAGCTGTGGTCACCCCAGCAGCTGTGCTGGGAAAGCCCCAGGAGAACGGAGATCACAGAGAAGTCAAAGTGAAAGTAGAGTCTATTCCCGCCATTGGCCGTGCCACGCTAGGCACTGCTAGCCGGATCATCCAGACGGCACAGACCACCCTGGTCCAGATGGTGACCATAGTGCAACAGGCACCTCTGGGTCTACCCATAAAAACTGTAACACAAAACAGCACTCACGTGGTGTCAGTCCCCACTGTGGTCCACGGCCAGGTGAACAATGCAGTGGCGGGTCCTTTGCACATGTTGGTGACACACGCGTCCACATCGGCCTCCCTGCCCATACAGTGCCAGAGCAGTGACCAGCAGGAGCAGCCAGAGCTGAAGCAGATCAAGATGGAAGATGGCGAGAGCACTGTCATGGCCCTGAGTGTGGACATGCCACCAGCAGCTGTAAGGGAAAAGGGTGTCCAGAACTAGCTACTGAGAGAGCTTTTCTTGAACAATATCAACTTTCTGGTGCCAAAAGGAGACATTGCCTCCCACTAGCTCTCAGTGGATGCAGGGCCCTGTGGTTGGACTTCACCTCTCAGTACTGAAAACACAAAACTCAGGTGGCCTTAAAACTGCTTAATTTAAAGACAGAAGTCACACTTGAACAAAAACCACACACAACAAAACCTGATTTTGGAGACAGTGTCTCCCCCACTGAGCACCTGCAGGTCTGCTGCCTTTGGGTTCAGCTTTTACCTACGAATGAGACTCTCGGTCCTCCTGCGAGGACCACGCATCGCTGTGTGAGGATGGCCGTCAGCGCCTGCTGCAGGTGGGTCTCCCAGTACTAGGCCCTCAGGACGTGAGGGGAGCTGTCCCCGCCACCCTCACAGGACCCGCCAGGCAGCAGAGACAAGACAGTGCTTTCTTGCTCACATGTGGAATTCGAGTATTTTGAGGTGTACTTTCTTTGCAAAATAATGGGGTTTGGGGCATTTCACATCACTCCGTTTCTATCAGACTTTTGGAATCACACAGGACCTTTCAGTGGAATCATTTGGGAAAAAGAAACAATGTAGTTTTTTTGTTTTCAGCCTAGAATGATTTCCTTTTGTCTCTCTTGTTAAAGTTCAGATGAAGCTACTTTGTGGCATCTGCACATTTCCATGCTACAGTAGCTGCCTGATGAATTTCATCCACCTCCATTTCAGCGTGTGGGTGGCGTGGACAGGTGGACGGATGCTGTGGCCACTTGGAACCCTGAGAACCCAGCGAGGAGCTGGTGCTGGGAAGGAACTGCCCGGACTCACCGAGCTGCACTTAACTGTTCTCTTTCTGGCTGTTTTTGTTGTTTCTTTGGGTTGACTTTGTCCCTGGCAAAATATTCCACTCTAAGTAAAACAAGTCTCCTAAGTATTGTTTATGTTTAAAACGACAGAACCATTACTACTTCATTTGGGAAAAAAGATTCAGCCTTTTCTCACAGGCCCTTTTGAAACTAAGATCCCAGGTCTCTCCGTGGTAGGTTTGTATTTTGGGTATCATCCCCGGCTCTGGGTGCCCTCTGACCCGACGTCATCTCTTCAGCATTGCAGTTTTCCCACCCACGGTGAGCAGCCGTCATAGTGGAGGAGGGTCCCAGCAGTGCCCTGCAGGGGACGTCTGGGGCATTTCCTGACTTGTGGAAGGAAATGTCCCTGACCTTTCAGAACTGAACCTAATCCTGAGGCTGACTCCTCTACAGAAAATGAAAGGCGAGGAGAGGGGTGAGGGAATGAGAGTGGGAGGTCCCTGCACCTGCCCGGCTCCTTGGGAAGAAAACCGCTCGACTTTCCCAAGTGCGCCAGCTCAGGGCTGAGCAGCAGTGCACATGGAGAAAGGGCGTCAGCCTGATGCTGAGCTTCTTAATGTCATCATCATAACATTATTTATTTAAATGTAGTTATTTTGGTATTTATTATTTTTAGAGAGGAAAAAAACCTGTTTTTTGTTTTTTTTTTTTTCCTGGTGGGATGAAATTGGGATGAAATGGCTCAGAATGGTATATTTAGGCAATTTAAAAACATTTATTATTTACATAAAGACCAAATATGATTAATCGGTTCCGTGAATTGTGTGTTGGCCCTCAGCCTGGGGTTGTGGCAGTGTCACTGCATGACACACATTGAAAGTATGAAATTATGGCACACTAGCTGGATTTTAACTCAGCCGTTTAAGAAATAAAAAACAAAACCATGATGGGACTGAAACAAAACAAACCAAAGCAAAAAACCCGAAGAGATTGTGATATTGTGCGGGCCTAGAGCCAGAACCTGAGCAACGCCATTTTTATACAATGCAAAACTGTTTTTTAAATAAGTCGCAACGGCTGCCCCATTCTCCTCACAATAACTGCTGGCCTTGGCTTAACTAAGATCTGTAACTTCTATCACTACCCAATGTGTAAACAAATGCTTATCTTGACTTCTGTAAACCACTGAAGTACCAAACAGAATGACAAAAGTCCCCTGGCCCTTGGAATGTCCGGAGACCCCCACCCTCCTCTCTGCCCAGGAGGTGAATTACAGAATCCCCTGGCCCTTGGAATGTCTGAAACTTTTTCATCCCCATCCTCGCTCCTCACCCCCACTCCCAAGGTGGTTTTTTGGGTATAAAAAGTCTTGGCACCCTCCTTTCGAGGCCACAGGTTGGAGAGACTTGAGTCCTCTGTGGTCGCCGGCATAATAAATGACCCTGCAATCTGGCATACTTTTGTCTTGGTGCTAACTTTCTACGCTCGGTCCAGTACAACAAGATAATATTGTTTTCATTAGCAAGTTTTTTTTTTTTTAATTTCTTTTTCCTTTTCTTTTTTTTCCCCCTCTTCTCCCTCTGATATTATCATTAGCAGGTTTTGAAAGTTCCTTTCACTTAGGACTTAAATAGTGAAGAGCCTTGGCATCAAGGAGAAATGTACACAAAAGATGCTCCCTTCCTCAAGATTCGGGTATTGATGATTAGTTCTGACATAAGATCTGGGCAGGCTGGGCCCCACCCTTGACCCTGCAGTTTATGATGTTTTTAGTGGTCATTATTTTTGTGTCCTGTTTAACCTTTGTCTACTTCATATTTATGAAGACAGTCTTCTATGGTTTCTTCTAGAAGCTTTATTATTCTACCATTTACATTTTGGCCAGTGACCTATCTGGAATTGATTTTGTCTACCATGTAAGGGTAGGGTTCTAAGTTTGTTGTTGTCTATATAGATTTTTAGTTGACTCAGCACCGTTTACTGAAAAATTCCCCTCTCCCCACTGCATTGCTGTGCACCTTTGTCATGAATCAGGTGATCAGGTATGTGTGAGTTTGTTCCTACATTCTCTGTTTTCTTCCTTGGTATTTATGTCTGTCTGTATTATTCCATTCTCACATTGAGAAAAAAAAATACTTGAGACTGGACCCTTTATAAGGAGGTTTAATTGGCTCATGGTTCTGTGGGCTGTACAAGAAGCAAGGTGGGCTCTGCTTCTAGGGAGGCCTCAGGAAGCTTCCAGTCATGACAGAAGGCAAAGGGGAAGCAGGCATCTCACGTGGCAGGAGCAGGAGTGAGAGAGGGAGCGCAGAGAGGTGCCACACACTTTGCAACGGCCAGATCTCGTGAGAACTCACTCACTATCATAAGAACACCAAGAGGATGCTGCTAAACCTTGAGAAATCCACCCCCATGATCCAATCATTTCCCACCAGGCTCCATCTCCAATTTTGGGGATTAAAATTCAACATGAGATTTGGGTGGGGACACATATCGAAACTGTATCACCAGCTTTGTGCTGATTACATAGTTTTAAGTACTGTAGCTTTAGGACAGTTCTTAATATGCTGTCTGGTAGGGTAAGTCCCCGGACTGTGTTCTTTCAGATAGTCTTGGCTATTTTTTTTTTTTCCCGAGACAGTCTTGTTCTATCATCCAGGCTGGAGTGCAGTGGTGCAGTCTTGGCTTACTGCAACCTCCACCTCCCAGTTTCAAGGGTTCAAGTCATTCTCATGCCTCAGCCTTCTGAGTAGCTAGGATTACAAGCATGTGCCACCATACCTGACTAATTTTTGTATTTTTACTGGAAATAGGGTTTCACCATGTTGGCCAGGCTGGTCTCGAACTCTTGGCCTCAAGTGATCCTCCTGCCTCAGCTTCCCAAAGTGCTGGGATTACAGGCATGAGCCACTGCGCCCAGCCTTATCTTAGAGATTCTTGACCCTTTGTATTTTCATATACATTTTAGAATCAGCTTGTCAATTTCTACCAAAAAAACCTGCTGTGATTTCAATTGATTGAATTGAATTTATAATCCATGAGAGGTATTCTTTAATTTGGCTCAGCAATGTTTTACACTTTTTGTTCAGGTTATAACGGTTCATTGGTGGTATATAAATGTATAGTTGATTCTAATACATTGATATGGTATCCAGCGACCTTGCCAAATTCACTTGTTAATTCTAATAGTTACCTTTGGCTTCTTTTGGATTTTTTTTTTAACATATGTAATCATATCGTCGGAAAATAATGAGTTTTATTTCTCCCTGTCTAATTTTTATATCTTTTATTTCTTTTTCTTCCCTATCACATTAGTTGGATGCTCCAGCTCATTAAATAGAAGTGGTGATGATGGGGGTCTGGGCTCTGCTCTGGGTTTCCTGTGGATGCACCCCCTCAAGTAGACTTGCCTCGTGTCCCTTCAAACCCCCATCGTCTTCTCTAGATCACTGAGTCCCATGGGAGCCAAAATTCCCTGCCCGAATGACTTTGAGCCTACCTTCAACCTGTGTGTGCCTCTTCCCAGAGTCTGTCTTCCTCAGGGCAGATGAGGCCATTGTTATGCAACCCCTGGGTCTGAAGGATGGCCACAGGGTATAGATGGAGCTTGGATGTGTAGTCTGGAAAATCCACATGCCTGCAGGACAGCTGGGGGTGGGCTGGGAGCTGCAGCCAGAGGCAGGCTCTCCCTTAGCTACCCAGTTACGAGTAGAACTCTGAGGTGTATCTGAATTCAAACTAAGACTTTTAAATTGTATAAAGGTATTTAGATAGAAGGATATATATATATAAATTTTTTTTTTTTTTTTTTTGACATTGAATCTTACTCTGTCACTTAGGCTGGAGACCAGGAGCCAACAGGGCACAAGTGCAAGGGCAACACCTTTTTTTTTTTTTTTTTTTGAGACAGAGTCTTGCTCTGTCCCCAGCTGGAGTGCAGTGGCATGATCTTGGCTTACTGAAACCTCCACCTCCTGGGTTCAAGTGATTGAACCCCAGGCCTCCCATTGTAGGCACCCACAATCACACCTGGCTAATTTTTGAATTTTTAGCAGAGATGGGCTTTCTCCATCTTGGCCAACCTGGTTTTGAACTCCTGACCTCAAATAATCCACCCGCCTTGGCCTCCCAAAGTGCTGGGATTATAGGCATGAGCCACCATGCCTGGCCAAGAACTGCAGAGTGCTTTTAAATTGTGAGCTGTAAAATCACATCACAAATGTCCTGATAAAGGGTTGCTACATAGAGGCCACTCTTAAAAGTCTTAAGGTAGCTGCTGCTTCCTGCTTGAATGGAAGAAGAGCTGTGGACAGTTGTGCAAAAATGTTTCTGACTTTATACATTATTTCCAAAGTGTTCTAACTTTGTAAATTCTTCTCTCTTTTCAGAAATTGGCTAAACTTCTGCTCTGTGGCACCGAGTTGGTGACAAATATCCAGGTGGCAATAGATATCAGAGAGACCCACAGGAGAGTCGAAGAAGATGACATAAAGCGTCAGAGGTAAGGACTGTGCTTCTCTGCGCCTGGTGGACATGAAGGTAATCTCCTTCATGGGTCCCGCAATTCTCCGGAATGATTGGAAGGTGACTTTGTCCACCTTAGGCAATTCCCTTCCTGCCCTTATAAGTTCTCCCTCCCTCCTCTTCTCTCTTTTCTTTCCTTCCTTCCTCAAGTACTACGTTGCTGATATGTGCCAAGCTGTGTATATACAAAAGGAGTGAGACATGGCCTCTGTGTGTGATATTCACAGTCTAGTCAAGAGACACATGGAAACTCCCATAATTTGTGCTAATTAGATAATGTGTAAAGGGTTGTAGTAACACACACAAGGAGGCCTTTCATTCTATCTGCAGAGATTAGAGAAAACTTCCCAGACAAGGTGACATTGAGCTGGGCTGTGAGGGATGAATAGGAGTTTGAGGAGTTGAAGAGTAGGCATTTTAGGCAGAGGGAACACTTGAGAGCAGAGGTGTGGGATCACATGACGTGCTTGGGAATGGCATGATAGTGAAGGATGTGTGGGTGGTGGCAGAAGGAAAGAGATGAGGCTAAGAAGGTCAACTGGGCAGTCCTGGGTTTAAATTGGTGAGAATGACCAGACCCATAAGCATCTCAGTGCTATGTGTAAAGATGGC